AACGCAGCAACACGTATGCAGTGTTTCTGCCCACCAAAGCCCACTTGAGACTCAGAGTTCATGGCTTTTAGTGGGAGCTGGTCACTTAGGCACAACAACCAGCCACACAATCAACATTCTAGACTCTCAGAAAGAAAGCAGATGTTCAGTGCACCAGACGAGCAACACAGCCTTGTCAGTGGGAATGTTTCAATAGCCAAGTTCCTAGATGCCAGACAAGAGCTAATCCTACAGGCCCACTGTGTTAGCTCTTTCCTGCACATCCTTAGTCCCCATCTTTTTCTCACACTTAACATCTAACCTATCAGTTATTTCTGTCAGCTCTACCATCAATGTATATCCTAAATTTGACCACTTCTTACCACTTCGATGTCTAATCTAAAGACACCATCAACTCTTGCTGGAACCACTGGTCTGCTTGCTCATATTTTTTTTCTCTCTGTACAAAATGTAATTCACCAAGTGGTTTTCAGTGTGAACATTTAAGACCTACATTAGATTATACCACTTCCATGCATAAAATTTTCCAGTGACTTCTACCGTACTCTGAATGAAACCCAAAGTCATCTGATGGTAGTCTCCGCGTTCTGTGCCTGAACTAATATCCCAGCACTATTTTGCTCATTTCTTTCCAGCCACACTGGCCTCTGTCCACTTTCCTCAGTGCCGTTCCACTTCCTATTCCCTCATTATGGAACACACTTTCCTCCACTGTGCCTCCACACTTCACTCAAATGCCTCCCTCTCTCTTTGTCCTTCCTGAACATCTTATGTAAATAGCAGTTCCTGTCACTCCTGTACCCTGAGATATTTCTCTCCATAACACTTATTATTACTTACCATATTTATTTGCTTATTGTCTCTGTCCCTGCTGCCAACCCACCTCCCCACCCCAAATGTGAGCTCCAAGAAATCAAAGACTTGGACTTTTTTGTTCACTGCTGTATTTCAAGTAACTGGAATAGTACCTGGCACATTGTGTGTGCTCACCAAATATTTTTCAAATCAATGAGTGAATAAATGCATGAATCATATGAACTGCCAAGTCAAAACTCTCCTGAAGCCACAATTACCTATGGACATTTGAGTCATTTGAGCTAACAAATTCCCATTCATGTTGAAGCCAGTGAGTTGAGTTTTCTATGACTTGCATCAAAAAGCATTTTAACTGATGCACTCCCCAGTGCAATTTTTCTTGGTAGACAATTGAATCAAGATACATTCATTGTTTATAATAAAATATTTATTGTTATAAACTATTAACATAAATAAATATAATATAATATTTATTGTTATATATTGAGAATGAAGAACAGTGTTAGCCAGTCCCAAGCAACTTCTGCCTATTGTTATATAATGTTTTCAACTCGTGGAGTGGAGGTTCCATGACAGCAAGGATCTCATCTAAATTATTCATGTTTGAATTCCCAGTGCTTCTCCCAGAGTGGGTGCTATAGTTCTATTTCTCAAATTAAAGCATGCACCATTTCTGAAATGCAATACAACAAGATTTGAATCTTGC